ATTTGGAAATTTACGACGAAGCAAAAACCATACCACCAGCAGGACTTTTTACAGATAAGGGTTCCATACCAAAAGACCTAACCGAGATTGACATAACGAAAGCATACACAAGCAGACTAGTAGGGATTACACAGGTACCGGTTTTTAATCAGTTCGATGTTTGGAGAAAATGGTTTAAAGAGATGGATTTTAACACGATGTCGGACTACACTTTATTTTTCGTTGAAGATTGTAGCCACAACGGAATAGTAAAGCAAAGCACTTTTTTAATGTTTAACAAGAGGTATAACCTGATTTACGGAAAATATTTGAAACAAATTGACACTAATAAACTGAACATCTTGCATCATAAGACGCCGTCTTTACGATGTAAATTATAACGATTATGTAAAAGAATTATGGAACAAAAATATTAGCGACGAAGAAGAGCTGGATAAACTGATTAAAAAACTTATTGTAAATGTTAGTATCGGACTTTTGGACAAAACGGGTAGCACTGACCCAAAAAAGCATCGTCTTTAAGAATATTAGGGAAGCATCGGATTTTCAATTAAGGCACGGAGGTAAAATTCACAAAATAACTGAAATGGAATGTAGGGATCAAACAACTTACGGAGGAGGTGAAGAAAATGATGACTTTTCAATGCAAATGCAGACGACAGAAGAAGAAGGTATGGAATATTATTTGGTTAATGTTTCAGACAAGGCAACATTAAACAACGGTTTTATTTACATAAAAGAGCTGTTGCTTCAAGATCATAACTTTAAAATGTGCCAGGATTACATCAAATTGAGGAAAAATTCTATAAAGGCGGTCAGTGTAAAAACAGATGCCTTCGTTATTAAATCCGAATATGTGGAAAAAGCAAAGGAAGTATTGGAAATGAAAGCTGGTATAGGAGAATGGAGAACGAATAAAGAAGGAGAGGAAATAAAACTACCGAGTGAAACATATCAAAGGAAAAAGAACGAACTGGATAAAATCCCCATCTACAAGAATACAGCAATAAAAATTAAGGACGAATATGATACAACAAATATCATAGAAAAAGTTATTAGCGCTAAACATGTTATGATCAGGGCAAAATATGCAGGGTCCGGAAAAAGTTATATTTGTGAAAAAATGGCGCGAATGGGAATGAAAGTTTTATTTGTATGTCCTACAAATAAGCTAGTCCAAAAATACGGAAAGGAAGCGGTAACAGTTAATAAGTTCTTTTCCATAGCAGTCGGCTCGAGAAGTTAGAAAAATTTGATTATTCTGGTTATGATGTTATAGTGTTTGACGAGATTTATTTTAACGGTTTAAGGGTGTTGAATAGAATTAGGGAGTTTGTTGAAAACAACCAAGATAAAATAATAGTGGCAACAGGAGATGGCAAGCAATTAAAGCCAGTGTCGGAATTAACAAATTTACAAGAGCACGAAGAATATGCTGATAATTGTGTGGATAAGATTTTTAAATATAATATTTATTTGAAAGTTTGTAAGAGGTTAAAAAAAGAGGAAGATAGGAAAAAGTTAGAAAATATTTATATTGACATTTTTGAAAATAATATTAAGGTCAGAGAGCTAGTAGAAAAATATTTCAAATACACTTCCGATATGAACCTAAACGAAAATAATGTAGCTTATTTGAACGACACCTGCAAGGAAGTAGCAAACCAAATAAGAAAAAAGCAAAATAGAAAGGGCGAGTATGAAGTAGGCGAGGTGGTGATATGCAGAGAGTATTTAAAATCAGCAGAGTATAAATTTCAAGTGAATTTTAAATACAAGATTTTAAACATAATTGAAAATATGGTAGTGTTGGAAGACGAGCATAATAAGAAAATACAAAAAATATCGTTAGATATGTTGAGGAAGCATTTTATATTTAATTATTGTTTTACCTGCCATAGTGTCCAGGGTTCCAGCATCGAGGGAGGTATAACAATATTTGATTACAACCATTGTTTGGTAAATAAGAATTGGTTATGGACAGCGATCACGAGGGCAACTGATTTAAACAATGTAAGTTTTTATAAATATGATGACGATGATGATGATTTTAATAAAAACTGTATTTACAACTATTTGAAAAGAAAGGTGGAAGGATATAAGGAGCAAGACAGAAAAGCTAAAAGGAAAACTGACCATAAAAACTATATTACAGCAGATTGGTTATTAGATAGATTGAACGGGATGTGTGAATTATGTAATGTAGATTTTTATGTAAAGTCAATAAACGGAAATATAAGAACGAACCTGACGGCGCAAAGAAAATTTAACGACCAAACTCATACGATAAGCAACTGCATAGCATATTGTAAAAAGTGCAACTGCTGTATGAGCGACAAGGAAAAGTTTTAAAAAGATTTAGTCTTAAAAAAACTTTTATATTATATTGTATATATGCCCGTTAGCAAAACCAAGGTTGTTAAAGAGGAAACCATAGTAGAAAAACCGAAGGAGGAAGAAGAGCAAGAATTTAACGAAAAGATTTATGATATGATTTCGGAGGTGTATCATAAAATGGATTTGATGTTAGAAAAAATTGAGGCTATTAGTGAAAAACCTAAAACCAGAACAAGCAATTTAAATACCGAAGCATCATACACAAACAAAAGAAACGCCTATATCAAGAAATTAAACGAAGGAGCAATTTTACAGCCTAAACCGGAAACAATGGAATATTATAAGGTTGTAAAAGAGGGGGATAAATATGTCTAGTTTTTTACAAAAATTTTTGATAAAATCTTTACAAAGTTTTTTACAAAGATATTTTATAAAATGCATTTTTTCAACAACTAGTTTTTGGAAGATTTTTATGATTAAAATTTTGAAATATCATTTTTATGAAAATTTTGGAAAATTATTTTTTTTAATGAAATTTTGGAAAAAATATATTTTTATGAAAATTTTGAAATATTTTTTTGAAAATTTTGATAAATTTTATGATGAAAATTTGAATATTTTTATCATAAAATTATGAGTTTTTTATTGAAATTTTTGTGAGGAATGGTTGAGGGTGGGATGTCAAAAATGAGGAAAAAATGTTGAAATGTTGAAAACGTAGGGTACCCCCCAGGGAAAAACGAATGAGGCGTTCGGCGGGTGAAAAGAAAGTTGAGGCATGGATACCCCTAACTATGGATACCCCGAAAGCCAACAAGCTTCGTCACGAAGAGGTCGTTACAGAAGCACGCGGGAAGGCACCCTTTTAAAAGACATATATCACGCCACCCCCTTCCCAAAACTCACCACTGCCAGAGGACAGGGGTGGATCATGGGGGTGGGGGGGGGAGGGGGGGGGGGGGGGGGGGACTAACAACAGTATACATCAAAGTCGCCCAAATGGTTGTAGCAGGCTAAGAAACCGATTGAAGCATTGATCACGATGATGGCAGGGATGCAGCAGCTTGTAGAAGCTTGTAGATTCACGAATCATCATTGCATGTCTGACATACCCCAAGCAAAGAGGAACAGGAACAGGTGCTGGGGGGGAAGCGAATAATTTTGTAAGATTTCTGGCCGGCCGCACATTGGAAATCATCATATATTTGTTTTTGGCATTCTGGCTGCGTTTTGTTGGCGTTGTTTTTTGTTGGCATTCTGACTTTGTGGTTTTTTGCATACTAAATTGTGTTGCGATTTTAATTTTGTTGCATTTCAATTTTGCGTTTTTTTTTGTGTTTGTTTTTTGTTGTGTGTGTTGTTTTCTTGTGTCCTTTCTCTTCTTTGTTTTCGCTTATGTTCCTTTACTTGGTCGTGCATTTGGAGATTGGTTCTCATCTAACAAGTCTCTTCGTCACTTCGGACAGAATGGTCTCGACATATTATGAGTCTGGGAATGCGAACCCCAAGGCTAAAAGTCCAAAACTCTCAACATCTATACCGTCTATAACGTCAACCTCAATTTTATAAACCCCCCCCTCAATCAAGAAACCCCGTGACGGCAGATCCGGGTGGCTTCGCAGGGGTCGGAAATGCAAAACACCCTGGGTTTTTGGTGTCTTTTTTTTTGTTTTTTTTTTTGCTTTTCTTTGCGTTTTCTTTGCGTTTTGCTTGTTTTTTGTTTGCGTTGTGCCTGGCTTGCGATGCTGCATCCCAGCCGTCGCAGGTTGCATTTTTTTTGCGTTCGCGGTTGCGTCGCTTTGCCGCTTTGCGTTTTGGTTGCCTTCCCGAATGCCCGGCGGGAGGCGGCCGGACAAAGGGCCGCCGCGCCCCCAGGTCGTCTGCGTGTCAGTTACCCCGTCCCCCCTCCCCCTCCCCTACATCCCCTTGCCCCTCCTGCCCACACTTGGACTTGAACCAACCCAATGGCACTGGCGGCTAGGCTAGACATCTCTGCTCCATCAGACTACAGGGAGCCACACCCTTCCTTGCATGAGAAGGAACCCGCCCTACTTACAGCATGACAGAAGGCCTGGAGCGCGCTTTCGAGGCAAGGCGTCATGGCCGAATTCTGCATTTTTGCAGGACTACGGGCTTCAGGCTTCGAATTTGGAGCATACACAACAAAATGCGTACGCAAACAACACAGGCATAGGTCAGCAGAAACAAACCCAAACGCACGAAAGTCAAACAAACAAACAAACAACAAATCAAAACCGAAAATACATGGAAAAAAACCCACCAAAAACATAAGAACCGAAATGCAAAAAACACAACCCATCAACAAACATAGAACAACACAAAACCAGGACACAAAAAACAACACAAATAAAACACAAAAACAAATATTTGGTCACGTCCTAGTCTGTGGCCCAACAGTTCTTAGAAGAATAATTACTTTTCCAAGAGGTATCCTTGACCAGATTTCAGTTGCGCATAGAATGCCTTTGAGTTCATGGAAAGGCTAGCCAATTTGGGAATTGGGGGTAACACTTAGACGAGATTAACATGCTACTTACTAGACTCGACTGGGATGCTTCCTACTGCGTTCTAGAAGAGAACACGCGATCCTTAGGCGCACCAAAGAAAGCGAACAAAATGTTGGTCAAAGTTGACCTAGCATCGACGGCATGCGCTTGGCGCATCTGGATCCGGAGGATCACACGCAATCTTGAGCAAGCGACTGGTGAAGCCTTCCTTGGTTGCGCCGAGAACTCTTCCACAAGTCTCACTCGTCTCATCTTTTCTCTCCTGCGCGGACGACTTCCTCCCGAGAGCTATATATGCCTGTGCGTTGATGTGCACGGAGGAAGCCCTGCAGTGGACCGCTAAGTCTACAAAGATCTACAAAGATTGAGTGGGTGCCATTTTCGGATGGAAGACTTCCTGGTGGGGTACCTACCGGAAGATTGAGCGTAAACCTTGGCCGGAGAACTTGAAAAGGCAGACGAGCCGCAAGAGGCAGCAGTCCCTTCGCTGGATAACCAGCCTCCGTAACCACTGTAAAGGCATGGGAGATGTCCCGCAGCAAGTCGCCGGGATTCTCTAAGCCAACCTTCCGAGGACGGTTTTTCGGCAAGTCATGGGAGCAAAGGAGTTGCCGTTGACTCATTTGAGAGCTTTTGAGAGCTTCTTCTCTTCCCTTTTGCTTCATGTTGGGTTCAAACCGGCCTGGACTTGGACCAGCAGCTCTCCTGGTTCTCCTGGTACCACCCAAGCGTGAGTTCGCAAAGCCGTCCAAGGCAAGCTGGAACCTGCATCAGATCTCTGGACAACGCAGGGGCAAGAATGATGTACAGCGACAGTCCTGGCTAAGAAATCATTGGCTTAAGAAATTAAGGGCTTGCGGAAGAGCGGGTACCCCAAAAAGCGAAAAAACTGCAGGACTAAATTAAGAAATTGAGGTTACCCTCAGCCTCGGGGCGAAAATTTCATTACTCCTTCAGTTTGTTTTCATCTCTACTAGTACTTTGGGTAGGGTTTTGGAGTGGATTTGTTAGAAGAGGGTGGGAGAGAAGGTGAACCACTTTGCAGCGAGCTGGCCAATACATTGATCTCACAAACTCACAGCTCAAACCCAGGGTACCCTCAGGGTGTGAAGTGGAACTTCCGCAAAAAATGGGGGCCTCAAGTTTAAGAAATCCAGGGTACCCTGCCTAGAATGTGTCGCTTTCTTATCCAGCGCTGTCACTGTAGGCAAGGTTCTAGAACACTTGGAGGTTTGGAGGACCACAGCGGAACCGGGAAACTCTTACAGATTGGAAGACCAGCATCCAAAAAGCCTGATGCATGTCTCTAATTCAGGATCGCGGCCTCTGGCACCGTGAGTACAAGTGAAAGTTGAACCTTTTAACTTCTAACTTCTAAACAAAACTCCCGGATCCCTCCGCCCAAAACGAAAAGGCACACAGGTCAGAGGGCGCATATTCTACGGGGGTGCTACACTCTGGCTACACTCCGTTCACTCCGTTTGGCTCCATAGGCACCGTTCCAGACCAAATGCTCCTCTGGAGAGATGTCTGGCCAGGCGAACCTTGGGCACTTCAGGGAATTGATGAGGTGAGAGCGTGAAACCCTGCGTTTGTGGACAGGGTCCAAGCCGAAATTTAACATCTTCGACTTTCTTTGAGATGTAGATACTATTTGCGCGCAGAAAATATTTGACTAGTTCATCTGTGTCTGTTTTCGCCAGAAACAAATGTTAACCAACCTTTTTTGTTACCCAACATGAGCTCTACCTGAGCAATGCTTTCTGCAGCCGGGAAAGCCGGGATGTCATGCCTACACTTGCATATTCTACACCTCCTGCAAGTTCCACTGTGTGCGTGACTACTCATGGTGTGTACCTACACTTCCTCAGCCCACAATCCAGCTCGCTCCAACACAAAGGGGTGGATCATGGTGCGGAGCAAGCCGGATGGGAAGTCCACAGACTCCTATTCTTGGTACTTCTGCTGACAGTAGCAATCGAAACAATAGTTTAATACCAACAGTCCTAAGCCCTAAGCACCCAAAACCCAGCCCAACCCTAGCCCAAACTTGAGCCCCAAGCCCGCCCGAAAGTTTCTAAAGCCCTCGAGTTCCAAAGTCAGGGAGCTTGGCATGTGTTGAATGTGGCGCGTGTGAGCAGATGAGCGTGAGCCTGGAGAGGCCGTCCAAAGCTGCAGAGGCCTCGATATCTCGCAGAGTGGGAAGGCATGGGGGGAGCACACGACGTTTACGATAAGGGACCCGAAGACCACCAAAGAGTAGGATCCCCGCATAAGGACACCCATAAGGTACCCCCATGAACGTGAAACCCCCCCATATTCTTTTTGGCCTTAGAATCCTTAGCATCCCAAACAGTGATAAACGGTTACTCGACTCTTTTTTTCGCTAGGGCTTCGGGGTTAAAGCTCGGCATACTAGGGTTTAGGGTTTTAGGGCGTTTTCGGGTTCGGGGGCATACTGTTGTAGACCTTACTCTGCTAGGTGTGCTAGGGCTACTAGGGCTACTAGGGGGGAGGTGAGTACCCAAAATGGGTATCTTGAAGCCCAAGTCCTGGCTCGTAGCTTCGCTCGGCGTAGTCCTCAACTGAAAGCCTGTCTCCGCCACCTGCACCACCTGCGCCACCTGCCCATCGCTCCGAAGCTGTGCTACCAAGTACCTCAGGTCTCCCCTCTGGTCACCGTTTTGATTCGAACGAAGCAAAGGGAAATGACATGTGAAAAAGTAGCGGCTCTTGTCCCTGTTGAGAATCTCTGGTAGCCGAGCTGCTGGGTGGTGTTTGCCTGTCGGCTAACGCGGGCTCCGAGGTTTAAAAACCCTCGGAAGCCGAGGTAGCACTCGAAAGGGCTCGGTGTGCTTCCCATGGTCTGTCGAAAGTAGTGCAAGCGCTTGTAAGCACTCCTCAGTTTGAATTAGGCTTCTTTGAAGTTTCTTTGAAAGGCTACACGTGCTCTGCTCGGCTCCTTGTGTGAGGAGCGCTTTTTTGGAAGGATCTAACCATGTGAACGAAACAACACAATCTGCATCAATCTGCCTTGTGCCAACCTAGACTCTGATCATTTGTAGCAAGAATGCAAGTCTGCACATCAGTGCGGCCGCTGATGAAGGCATCGCAAGGATAAAGAGCCACGGAAGCACCTAAGGGCATCGGCTGAAAGTGTCGGAGCAAATCTTCTCAAGCAAAGCTGGTGCAGCTCTCTGCTTGAACCCATCGCTTACATGGATATGGTCAGTGAATTGAGCGGACCTTCAGTTGCGGCACAGGGGTCCTATAGAGAGCCCAGGAGCTCACGTAGTTTTGACAGCAAGCGCCTTGCAGAAGGAGCTGGGAGGTTGGTGGGCATAAAGACCCATCCACGATTAGCAGAACACCAGCCCGTCTGCAGGCCCTGCTCCAGGCCATGATCTCAATCCTTGTCATAGTGCAAGCGACTCGTGCAGGGTGTAAGGCCGTAGGGTTTAAGGTTCACCCGAAGGTGGGCTCTGGCGGCTTCTCTTCCACATGCCATCCATGTCAGTCTCGGTGTGACCAGGCGATATTGCCGTATATAGCTCCCATTAGCTCTTTG